GAGCCCACCCAGGTCTCTGCAGCGAGGCAGTCTTCAGCCGCAGGCCCATGCACAGGGCCGCCACCCCGTCGTCCCCCAGGGCGTTGGCCGCCAGGTCCAGGCTCTTCAGGTGCGTGTTGGTCACGATCACCAGGGACAGCTTCCTGCAGCAGGCGGCAGTGAGGCCACATCTCACCAGCCTGCAGAGGGGGGAGGGGGAGAGAGGAAGAGGGGGGAGGGAAAGGGAAAGGGAAAGGGGAGAGAGAGAGAGGGAGAGAGGGGGGAGAGAGGGATAGAGAGAGAGGGAAGAGGAGGGGGAGGGGGAGAGGGAAGAGGAGGGGGAGAGGGAAGAGGAGGGGGAGAGGGGAGAAAGAGGGGCAGAGAGAGGAAAAGAGAAAGAGAGAGGATGAGAGAGAGACATCAATGATGAGAATCATGGATCAGCTGCCTCCTGCACGCCCCACACTGGGGATTGAGCTCGAAACTCGGGCATGTGACCTGACCGGGAATCTAACCACGACCTCCTGGTTCATAGGTCGACGCTCAACCACTGAGCCACCCCAGCCAGGCTGAGAATGACCAAGTCTTTGATGCCTGCGTCGCTGAGTGCTTCAATGCAATCGCCCCAGAATGGCATCTCCCATGAGCTCAGCTTGGGTTTCTGTGCCAGCAGAAGTAGGCCGACCCACCCTGGCTGGCCACTCAGTGCGTTAGAGCATCGTCCTCATACGCCACAGCCGTGGGTTCGATCCCCGGTCAGGGCACATATAATACTCAACCAGTGAATGCTTCAATAAGAGGAACAACAAACCAGTGTCTCTCTCTCAGATCAATGAAAAATGAAAAAATAAATGGATAAAGAGGTAAAGATTAAATTGGAGCAGGAGGACGCCTTCTGTGACGTGGGCAGCTCTGGGAGATGTCTGAGGACCTAGAATCTGTGGATCCCTGCAGCGCCAACACATCCACTTCCCCACAGTGTCCGGTGGGGAGCATGTGGCTCCGTGGACCCCGACGCTAACCTTGTGCTCCAGTCCCCCAACTCCTGTCTCCTGACTTTCTAGGACCCCAGCCCCCACGTGGGTAGAAGTGACCCCCTCCCCTCCCCCACAAGGGACACTTACTCCAGGTCCTGGAGGTGAAAGGTGGTTTCCAACAGGACCTCGCACAGGAGGTCCACGCCGTCGTCCCCCAGGGGGTTCATGCTGAGGCTCAGGTGGGTCAGATGGCGGTTGCCCATGAGTCCGAGGGAGAGAAAGCCACAGCCAATGACGTCCAGGTGGCAGTCCCGGAGCCTGCAGGGCACGTGCCAAAGGACAGGGAGAGTCACACTCGCGACCCCGCGACCCTGTGTCACCTCGGGTCGGCCGTCTGTCCCAGCCTCAGGGTACTCCTCCTTTGGGAGGGGATCATGCTAGTATCTAGGAAGGCTGTTGGGGGGCAGGTAAGGGATCAACTAAAGGACTTATTTTTAAAAAAATATATTTTATTGATTTCAGAGAGGAAGGGAGGGGGAAAGAGAGAAATACCAATGATGAGAAAGAACCATTGATTGGCTGCCTCCTGCACGCCCCCCCTACCTGGAGTCAAGCCCACAAGCCAGGCCTATGCTCTTGGCCAGAATCGAACCTGGGACCTTTCAGTCTACAGGCTGACGCTCTATCCACTGAGCCAAACCGGTTAGGGCGTAAGGGGTTCTTCTTTTTCTTTCCCTGCCCTAAGTTGGACAGGGACCTCTTGCCAGAACTGTGTTTGCCCCTTTCCCTAAGCCTAAGGTTTTGGTGGTGACCTGGCCCCTTCTCAGCTTCTTAGAAAGGTTTTCAGTAAAATGATCACCACTCTGGCCGGGTAGTTCAGCTGGGTAGACCACAGTCCCAATACACCAAGGTTGTGGGTTTGATCTCTGGTCAGGGCACAGACAAGAAGCAACCAATGAATGCATAAATGAGCGGAACAACAAATTGATGTTTCTCTCTCTCCCTTTCTCTCTCAAATCAATAAAGTGTCGGCCTGTGGACTGAAAGGTCCCAGGTTCGATTCCGGTCAAGGGCATGTACCTGGGTTGCGGGAACATCCCCAGTAGGAGATGTGCAGGAGGCAGCTGATCGATGTTTCTCTCTCATCGATGTTTCTAACTCTGTATCTCTCTCCCTTCCTCTCTGTAAAAAATCAATAAAATATATTAAAAAAAAGAATTTAAATTAAAAACAAAACTAAAAAAAAAGGTTGTTAGGTGTCAATGTCAATGTCAGATGACCTTGAAGTTCTTGACACAATGTCTAATGCACCTGCTGTATGCTATGACTCTCTTTTATTGTTAATCTTCACTCGAGGATATTTTTCCCATTGATTTTCAGAGAGAGTGGAAGAGAGCGGGAGAGACAGAGAGAAACACCCATGTGAGAGCGACACATCAATTGGTTGCCTCCCACATGCTCCCGACCAGGGCCAGCAGCCTACCACCGAGGCAGGTGCCCTTGACCAGAATCAAACCCAGGCCCCTTCAGTCAGCAGGCTGACGCTGACCTTCCCTCGCTCCCTGCTCTCTGAGATGGGCCCACGCCCTTGGTCACGGAGCCACGGAACCCTCCCGGGGAGCAAGGGGGACTCACATCAGCCTCTGAAGAGCACAGGTGAAGCACTTCAAGCCGCGACACAGCAGCGTCATCCCATCCTTCCCCAGCGGGTTGGTCGACAGGTCCAGGTGCGTCAGGCTCTGGCTGCTGGTGAGGACCTCGGACAGGTGCTGGCAGGCGGCCGCCGTGAGGCCGCAGTTCCCCAGTCTGCAAGGAGAGACAGTGCACCCCCCGCCCCCCAAGAGCAAGTGCTGGACTCCTACAAACATGGCCAAGAGCCGAGTACACAGAACCAGCTGCTGTATTTTATATCATCACCAGAGGCCCAGTGCACGAAATTCGTGCACAGGTAGGGTCCCTAGGCCTGGCCGGCGATCAGGGCTGATCAGGGTGTTCCGGCTGCCATCAGAGTCTTCCTTCATTCTGCGTTGCCCCCTTGGTGTTCAGCTCATGCCATAGTGAGTGTTCGAACTCCCAGTCTCCCGGTCAAACTCCCGAGGAGACACTTTGCATATTAGGCTTTTATATACATACATATACACACACATACACATA